AGTCCTCGCTCTATGGTCATCTCCAACGAAGTTTACATTGAAATCTCCAGCTATAGCAATTTTAACAGATGATTTTCTGTTCAGATAAGACAAGGCACTGTTCAAAAAGTTCACAAAAACTTTCAAAACTTCCGCTAGGGGAACGATAAACGGATACACAGATGGTGTTTTGAGCAGGTAATAGAACAGCAACAAGTTCGCAATCAAGTTCTTTACAGAAACTATTTACATTCAGACATTAAAATCGATGTCGCTACGGATGTAAATAGCAGACCCACCGCATCGAATTTCAGACCTACAGAAAAAACTGGCAGCATTGAGGTCAGATATTTTGCCTATAAAAGTCAGTTTCATTTTGAGTTAAAAAATGTTCACACAAACACAAGATGTCTAGCTTCTCATTTTCAGCAAATAGAGTCAAAAGGGCTTGCTTAGGCCTAACACTCTGGACATTCCAGTGACCCAGAAGTAAGGTGTCATTAGGCCTAGTGTTGAATATGTCTTTAGTTATGTTTGCCAGTTGTTCAGGCTTGCTCTGCCTAAAAAAACTCTAGATTGAACATTATGCCTACTTCGAATGTGAAATTTTCGCACAAGTGCACCAGCAGGCCAAAAATTCAGCGCTCAGCAACTTAGATTCAGAAACTGAGGTTACCCCTATCTTGAACGATTTGTAACTATTGGATTTCGTTTTGAGTTCTATACAATCACTGACTGTTACCTGCCTGTCAGAAAGATACTTAGAAACTGAGTCGCAAGATTCATTTACTGAAATTCTGGTCAAAAATATATAATTTCTTTCGGTTGGAGAACTATTTACAGGTTTAGCAGTTTTGAGGCCTACCTCGTTTCCAGTGCAGACGATGATGTTTTTGGAGGGTTCTAGATTTGGGAGTCTGTGAAGGTCCCGTGGTAACACTTGTAGTTTGTAGATTTTTCGGTAGGGCTTTAGGTTTATCCGCAAAACTAACACTCAGATCTCTATTTACAAATTTAGAGCTGACATCTACAGAAGAAGTGGGGTGAGAAACTTTAGAGCGGCCATGTTGTTGTTGAGTTCCGCCAGAAATTTTACTGAGTTCAGTCAGTAGTTCATCCCCAATCCCAACATCAGGCGTTAAGCACAGACCATTAGGAGGAGTCACAGTCCCATTAGTGACAGAGGCTATACCCAGTCTTTCAGGAAGAGTATCAGAGGCAGTCTGAGTTGAGGAACGGGCGGTATTTGCAGACATGTCAGTGGGGGACAGTAATGACATTTTCATCTTTTCCATCCGATTTGGATGTCTGTGTCACTGTCAATGCAGACGACAAATCACTACTTTCGTCAAGTACATGTGTTTCCTGTTTAGAGCAACTTGTGTCTAACCTCACTTTGTCAATATGAGAAGAATCATAAGATAACATTTTGGTAGCCCAAAACATTGTCAATTTTCTTTGTTATTTGAGAGTTGCTCGAAACAACTCTTTCATCAAACCCAGAATATCCTTGGTCACAATGTCAGCATTGAATCTACTTACGTGAACTTTCAGTGTATCATGGCAGTTATCACAAAACCACTTCACTTTATCACCTAAGGCCAAAATCATGTCGTATTCATTAGATGAGATCATTAAACACTTCGAGTGAAACCACACCTCACAATAACCCTCACAACAGAGTCCTTTATCGTTTTATTAACATTTTTGGAGCACACTCCACACTGCGCGCGCTTCCTAGTAGCCATTGTTGCCGGAAGTCGTTACAGCCCAGCAGAGCCAGAACGAATATACGGCCAGTAGACAGGGTAGAGCAATAACACCCAGCGAGAATTTCGTTACATGCCCGCCGAGCTGGGGCTGGGATGTGTCACCTGGATGTCACGGTGTGGTGGGGGAGGAACGGACCGGTAACAGGTTACAAAATTAACAGGTTACTGTAACCTGTTACCAAGTTGTAATGGAACGGTGTAACGCGTTTGTAATGAAGTGTTAAAGAAGGCCAAGGTTTGGTATCAAAATATGGACAAAAACACCAAACACCAGAAAAGGTACTCGGTGACATGAAGGAAAATGTACTGAGGGAAAGACCTGAGGGAAAGCACCAAGAAAAGGTACTCAGAGACCAGAGGGAAAAGTACTGAGGGAAAGTACGAAAATTAATAACTTCTAAATAAAACTTTAAAACGGATTTTTACCCCTTGACCGCTTTTGGGTCGTTACAAGAACATTTGTAGGAAATGTGAGAAAAATGAAAGGAGGCTTCGAATAATCAACAGAACAGGCCAGAGCCAATAGAAGAATGACTTGGAAGCATTTGATAACGCTGTACAAAGGGAGTTGAGCCAGCAATCCTGTACAGTTGCGAATTCTAAGGTAAAAAGGCTAGGAAGGTAAGATTGAAAGGAAAACCTTTGAGTAAACACAGAAAAGTTTCGTTTAAAATATGAAAATCAATACACAGTCTCGCATGATACGAATAGGGGTTTGACCAGAGCAATTCTAATTGACTCATCAAAGAAAGGATTAGGATATTTGAAAACAAGGAGGCGGGTAGGACAACATGGCAAGATTGCCAGAAGAGAGGAGACATTAGATGAGTCACAAATGCGCCGGGAGCAGAGTGAGGAATAAAGGTAAACGTTTGGATGTAATTCAAACATCAGAAGGAGACGGGAACAATATTGGGTGATTGACCATTATTGAACGCATTATTTGTCACTGGACATAGAAAATTTCAAGGCGAATTTGTGGAGATTTAACGTGTCGGAAGAGGAAGTATGCAAATGGAAATGGAGACCGCGAGTCACGTATGTATGAAATGTCCACTTTAAGGGGCAAATAGGAGAAAACACAAATAAAGCCTGAAGAGGAAAGGCTTAGAGATGCGATGGTAAAACTTTATGAGAGACAATGAAACAATTGAGCTATTTAGGAAAGTATCTAAAGAAATAGGAAGAACCAGTGGTGCATATAGGCTTTTAAATTATTATTAAATTTATTATGTGAGTCGGTGGCTCAGTTGGTAGCGTCACTGACTATGGGCCCAAGGCAGCGATATCATGGGTTCGGATCCTGGTCACTGCCACTAATATTTATCAGTACAGTTCACCTTCATACTGTACCAGCTCACCCCTTGCTTTGCTGGATACGTTCCACGCACAGATCAGTAGTCTATGTGGACGGGCAAATGCAAGGTTAAAAGAGGTCACCAACCTCTTAAAAAAATAATAATAAAAACAGTAACAAACAAAAACAAAGAATGAAAATCAATGAAAACTTCCCCATGAAGGGGAGAGGAAAGTTTAGAGCGAATCCCTATCGCTCACGGTGGTAGGGGGGAGGGAGTAACGCTGTTAGGTCTTGAACACATAATGTCTTTGGACGAGGAGTACTACTTCTACATATACTATATCAGTGTACAACTATACTACTCAATATAACGGATAAAAATATAACAATAGTGTATAATACAACGTTACGAGTCCGGTGAGTAATGTTTTGCCTTCGTCTCACACAAATTTAGCATATTATTAAAATCATCTAGACATTTCTTTGTTTTGTTTAGTATGTTAATATTTTAACTCTATTGACGACAAAATGTTTAAGTGTAGAATCATTTACTCCATAAAATGCATAAATGAATACCAACTAGAGGGGACAGTTCCAGGGGGTACAATTCCAGCCCGTTCTTTGGTATAAAAGAAAGGGTACATTTAATTTCAGGGTGGTGCAATCTCGGTCCCAGAATAAATACTAGACTGTCGGGTGGTACAATTTAAATTCCAGGGCGGTACAGTTCCATCTCGTACACTGACCACATAAGCGTGGGTTTTAATTGGGGGGGATGGGGTTAATTCCGGCATATACAGTTTTTAGATGTCGGTGGATTTAATCAAATCACTCGTGCATAAAAATATCAAAGTTTTATAAAGGGCGTACTACTCCGGCCCATACAAATCGTTTTGATTGAAAAAAATAAACGTTATTGTGACGTCACTATCTTGAGGGGGGCAACTTTCCAGGAGGTAGAATATTATCACCCCGTGTTTAGGTTATAAACAACAAACAATAATTAAGACATTTCTTAAGAAATTAAATTAAAATTATTAATCCAGATGTCACTACAAAAATGTAGAAAGAGAAACGACCATGAGAATGGGTTGTACATTAGTTAAATGTTCCGTTCAGAAATAAAACCACGCAGTTTTTATTTTATTATTTTTAAACCGAATCGTCTTTGGATAAAGCTGTAAGAGTATATTTCATAAACTGTCAAACTAATTGTGTTCAAATTGATAGTGGTCCTTGAATATCCAACAGGATAACGTGTTTCGGTATATTGTTATACCATAATCAGATCCTATATACAAAACATTTAAGTTTTTCGACTCATGATGTCACGTCACAGTTTTTAAGCACAGTTACAAAACATTTAATCACGAAAAAAAACCTATTTACAGTCTTTACAGTAGTCTCGACACTTGAAATTTATGCATTGATTTCCTTTTGTCTCTCGTTTTTAATTAGTAGGCGTACTGTAAATAGTTTTTAAACAGTCTGTTTTTCGTGATTATATGTTTTGTAACTGTGTTTTAAAACTGTGACGTGACATCATGAGTCGAAAAACTTAAATGTTTTGTATATAGGATCTGATGATGGTATAACAATATACCGAAACGCGTAATCCTGTTGGATATTCAAGGACCACTATAGGCAGTATGCAGGTATTGTAACCTTCTTATTTTGATTTGCATGAAGTGGGCTAGAAAAACAACCAGAACATGAAATTATTGTGTTTAGTATCATTTCAGGTAATTTCGTATCAGTGTATGATGTTACTCATTTAAGTAAGAAACAATAATGAGAAATTACGTATTTATTCTGATAAAGAATGCTGACAACGACCTCCCAAATAATATAACCTTTTACCTCCAACCTCCATGGATAAAAATATAAATACCTTCTTAAAAATATCTTACTTTTCAAGACTCTGGCGTAATATATTCAACCTGTTCCAGGTTGGAAATGTAGAAGGACAGAACTACATGAAAACCAAGAAGCTGGTGTCATTGAGTGAGCAGAACGTTCTTGACTGCAGCAATGAAAGAAGTAAATACTATTTCAAAGGATGTGAGGGAGGAAATATTTGGGACGCTTTCTATTACATTAATGACAACGAGGGAATTGACACAGAGGCTTCCTACCCCTACGAGGCTAAAGTAAGCTGATATAAGACGTAGAGAGTAATAGGCTGATATATGAGCTGGATGGAGTATTAGTTTAAGGTCTTCTGAATGGTCTTTAGTTCTATCTTGACATCCTACGGCACTATTCCTTAGCTAGAGACATGTTTATACTTTACTTTAGTCTAGTCTTACTTCGGGGCACTATTGCGTTGTTACAAGTAATTGTTGCCTTGAAGGATTTTAACCCGAGACCCCAGGGACAGACATCTTGAGCTCTACGAATAGACCAAATCAACCCTTGCCACTAGCTTCTGGTGGAATTGTTTTTGTATTTAGTTTTATTGGGAAATATGATACAATTATGTCTTCGAATATACATTTTTAAATCCATATCAATACTAGATGGGTTTATTTAGAGTATGCCTATATTGTATCATATTGGCCTAAACAGATTTTGTTCGACCAAGGTCTTGATGAAAATTAAATGAGGTTAAAAAACAACTGTTAGTTCATGCATTGGCCGATAATTAACGCCTTATTCTATAATATTTCTTATTAACTTACTAAAAAACATACCTCCACTCCAGGAAAAATGCTGGCTAAATGAATTTTCATTTACTTGATTAGAATTTAAATTACATTAATTTAACGAGTACTTAGGTTTGCTGGCAGGCGGAAGAATAAAATAGTTTTCCATAAAATTATAAAAGTACTAGCTGTAACCCGCGGGCTTTGCCCCGTTTAACTTCTTAATTTTCAAGATGATCTCGTTTGCATGGCTCAATCACGTCCTGGTTAAAGTTCGTTCGCTACGCTCACTCACCTTTAGGTTGGAGCTCGTTCGCTGCGCTCACTTTCCTTCAGGTTAGCTCGTTCGCTACGCTCACTTGCCTTCAGGTTAGGTCGTTCGCTACGCTCACTCGCCTCCAGGTTGAAGTTCGTTCGCTACGCTCACTCACCTTTTGGATGCAAATTAGCTGTTGTCATAAATGTAAAAGAAATAATAGTGCTAGTTCTGCACCCTGTTGGTAATCCTTGTAACTTTAATGCTATTGAACATCATAGAACAGAACCAACTTGTTTAATTGAAACAGCTGTTAAGATTCATTAATTCCATTTCTCATAAGGTTAACATGGGAAACTCTAGAGCCACTGGGGCGGAGCCCGGAAGGATTTTTGGGATAAAAATATGCCTATATGTTAATCGGGAATATGAGCTATCATCATGCCGAATTTCAGCCCGATCCGACCAGTATTTTTTGTGTTTACTTTTCCCATACACACATACACACATACAGCAACCACCTCTTTTTTATAATAGTATAGATATGATAAATTAAATAAATTTTCCGAACGTGTTCGTTAACTTCCTAAAACGTTCTAAAAATGTATTCGTAAACATGCAATCTACAATAGTTTAATTTTTCTCCATAAAAATAAAATAAACATTTTTATTTTAAAGTTCTTTTTAAGTTTTCTCCTTAACATTCAAGTGCATAACAACACTTACTAGATTGTTTAATTTTTAAGCCCTACAAGATTGTTTTTCGATAAAATGTAGGTTTATTTCCAAATGACATCAAAATTGGTTTTCATACAAAATTATCTAAACAAGCAAACTACAACAGTTAAACTTTACAAAAAGATTAGAGAGAAATGATAAAATTTGCAGGGTCAAAAGGAAGAAAAATCATGTTTTTCTCCATAAAACTACACATTAACCTCTGTTCCAATAGTCCGATTATTCTGGTTCGTGAATTCGTCCGAATAAACGTATGTTTACAAGTTTAAAACAAATTTGTCATAAAAATCTGAACATTATTTCTTGAGTGATCGTGCCCAGACACACACATACACACACACACACGCACACACACACACACACACACACACACATACGGGGTTTTACCGAATACTCACAAGCAAACACCTAATTGTGGCAACTTTCAAACTGCGGCCACCAGTGAATGAAGGTGGTAGAACCATGTGTGCATCGATATTTTTAATGAACACTCCATTTTAACATCTAACGTTCCAGGTTTTAATTGTGGCACCCTGCCACAAATCGGTATATATCAGTGGACAGGATGCCACTAATGCGTTGTAGTGCTTGAGCGGTGTGTTCGCCCCCCCCCCCCACTTCTCACGTGCGCTGTTGCCAGTTCTCCGTTCTAGTTCCTTCATTCCGTTCTGTATTCATGTGGCTGTGCCCTAGCAACTGTAGCTCATTGCCCGCGCTCATCACGTCGTCTTTTATTATAATAATAATGCATACTATAATAATGCACACTGATAGTCAACACAACTACAACTTTAAGGTTATGTGAAGAAATAATTTGAGGAATCAGCAAAAATAAAAATAAATAGTTGCTAGGCAACGGTGATGATAACACAATTATATTGCAATGGTATGGATTTTGATTGTGTATTTAAAATGCATTCGTGTTTTAAGTAAGTAAGCGGACAGCTGATTTTGCGGCCCCGGCCTGTAAAAACTTGCTCGGTCCCCAAATTACGATTACAGCTGGCATGGCCAGCAAAACGTAACTTTCAGCACAACTTCCACCATTAACGTATGTAACATTATAAAAAAAAAAAAAAAAAAAACATTATAGTGTGGTGAAAAATCCATAGCTTACGTCGTTTTAACGATGTTTAAACGATGTTAAAGTTGTAGTTGTGTTGACTATCAGTGTGCGTTATTATAGTGGTGAATTGTGGTAATAGGGTATAGTGTGGTGAAAAATAGCGTCGTACCACGGACCGAAATGGTTTTGCAGCTCTCGATCGATTTAAGTTCTCGACTTCGTCTGGAACTTAAAAACTATCTCAAGCCGGCAAAACCTCATTTTCGGCCCTAGGTACGAAATATACTATTTCACCACTCTATGATGTTTTTGGCTATTTTACATACGTTAATTGTTGTCTGAAAGTTACGTTTTGCTGGCCATGCCAGCTGTCATCGTCATATGGGGACTGAGCAGGGGTTTACATCCCTGGGGCCGAAAAATCACTTGTTAGCTTATTTACTTAAAACATTAATGTATATTAACTGCACATGCTGTATCTATGGCATTGCAGTAGACTCGTTTTTTCGTCACAGCTGCCTAGACAACTATTTATTTAATTTTTTATTTTGCTGATTCCTCAAAATATTTCACATAAATAAGAGGGACGTTATATTGCAAAACATACTTGGGTGAAAAATAGCGTTCGTACCACGAGCCAAAATGGTTTTGCAGCCCTCGATCGTTTCACGTTTTCGACTTTGTCTCGAACTTAAAACCCGATCTCGAGTCGGCAAAACCTCACTTTCGCCCCCAGGTACGAAATATACTATTTTTTACGGTGGATTTAGAGACCCAAAGATTCTCACCCCGTTGCGAAGCACGGGCAGAAACACTATAGTTAATTATAAGATTATAAAGTCTTTACTGTTTTGTCTCTACATTGCGTAGAGTCATGAAGTGTTTGGTCATTTCTACGTTTTATATAATAAGAAAGCCGTAACGAGTCTTATGTCAATATCTGTACGTTTGTTTGATTTTTTCTGTCATTGTGTCTGTAACGCCAAAATTCCAATTCACGTGTCCTACCTTGAGAAAACTAAAACACCGTTCATGATCCAAATAGTTGTGTAATTGTTTGAATAAATTTGCCAAGTTTGATCAAAATATATCCATAAACAAGCAAACTACAACATTTTACAATATTCTCCATAAGAATAACATGGGAATTTTAAATTTACAATTTTTGAATTTGTCCTGTTACCAATAACCGTACAAAAACACTTTGATATACTTAATTTTTTGTTTCGTTTTTAAGCTATTTAAAAAGGCTGGATATAAATTGGGAAATTTTGTATTTTTAGGATAACGTTTTTCTCCATTGCATATATCAGTAACAATATGTATAGTATCAAACTCAGTAATAGCATTGACTACTGTATTTAAACCTTAACTCAAGTGTTTATATAGTCAATGAGGCTACTGGTATGAGGCATATGACTTGCCAAAGCGTAATATTATTTTATTCGTCATGCTACTGCCCCACAAAGTTTATACAGGGTGTTCAAAAAAGGTTTGGGACATATTTTACCTAGTGGTTCCTTGGGTAAAAATAAAGAGAAAATGAGGAATAACATTTCTCCAAAATCACTTTGTTAACCAGATATCCCCCACTTTGTATTTTTTACATAAACATTTTTATGTTATAATATTTTCAACCGATCATTGAAACTTGGTATGTATGTTAGGGTAGAAGAGACCCGTATAAAAACCATCTTGATTAAACCTAGAATTTGAAAATGGCAGAAATTTAAAATTGTTAAACTTAAATTACTAAAAAATTGTTGTTTTTATGAAACAAATTCAAGAACACTTTTATTGAGCATTTTTAATTATCTATCAAACGATACCAAGTTCAAAAAGATCGAATAAGAAATAACTGAAATATTACGATTTTTAGTTGTAAACAGGGGGCAAAACTGACTGCCTTATTCTACACCATTTTTGCCAGACGGGTCTCGAACCTGTTACCTTCGACTTATGAGCCTCTTACTCTACCTCTGAGCTATCTGTGATTGTTGTTATTAACAGTTTTCAAGTGGCGAAACAGTAGCAAAGGTCGCAATACTTAAAATATTTTTGATAAATCGAGTATTTGAAATTTTTTCTGGGATTTGGAGAGGATACTGGTGTTTGAATATAGATTATTTAATTCTTATTATATTAGAACAGAAATGTTATTATAATTGATTGTTATATGCTTAATTAATCTTTTCCCTTAAAGTGTTCAACAAAATTGCTCAAATGAGTTAAGGAATATTAATAAAAAAAAATACTTGCATTATTATAATTATTATGTGCTAAGTAGGTGTTCCACTACTGTTTCTAGTATCACAAAGATCACAAAATCATATGACTGCACTTATTATGGATCAAATTTTCTCCAAAATCGTCTTATATTCTGCTGCCATAACATTTATGTTATTATAAAAAAAAAAATTTGTTAAAATGTGTTTTAGAATATTT